GGGTGGGACAGGAGAGGTCTGTTGCACCATATGAGTCACCATCAGGTGGGGATCAAACTTGTGCTGAAGCAGCTATGTCTGGCTTCATAGTGCTTTAACCCAGGGAGGCCTCACATATATCAATTTTTAATTGAAAAGTTTAAAAAATCACAAAAGTCTGAAATTCTTACTATCTAGAGGCAATTCCAACATTTTAGCACATTTCCTTCCAGCATTTTATTTGTTATTCTTTCATAATTGAACTCTTTTGTCATATAGAAATGGTGCTTCTTGCTACTTTTGCTTAATATTACAACATACATATTTGTCCACATCATTGTATTTTTATGGCCACATAATCTAAAATATAATTGCACCATAATCTACTCAAAGTAGTTCCAGATCATTTACAATTATAAATGACACTGTGATCAACAGCTTTGTGAATATATCTCTGCCCTTCTTGAAGATGATTTTTTTAATAAAAGATTTATTTATGCATATAAGGACTGGGGTATGGTCCAGAGGTGTGTGTGTGGGGTAGTAGTAAGAGGATTCACCAGAGACAGTGGGGAGCAGAACAAGCAGATCCACTGAAACACTGCTGAAGGGAGCAGCAGGTGAGAGAGGAGGGGTCTGCTGCACCATGAGGGTCACCTTTTTGGCTGGGGATTAAACTCATGCAGCAACAGCTGGTCCTAGCATTACCAGGCAGGCCTTTCTTGTGGATGATTTGCTAAAAGAGGGGTTGGTAAAGTAAGAGGTATACATGTTGCTGAAAGTTCCTGGTGTACATTGGTATGCTGATTTCCAAAAGATTGTTCTCAAATTCCATGGATGGGAAGAGAGTGGGAGACCTTCTGGAATAATTGGATTTGTAAGAAAGATATTTGATAGCAATTGAAAAAAAAAAAAGCTTTCTATGTTGAAAAAGTAGAGAAGAAATGGCTGTGTATTTTATACTACTCATTATTTGCTGTTTCATAGGGTAACAGTACAGATTCTATGTTAGATGAATGTTAGCATCCTGGTAGCTGACAGAGCAACTACTCAGGAAACTCCTTTAATGGAGGTGGAATGAACACTAGACAGGAAGGGCTGAAGTGATGGGGAGAGGTCAGAGAAGGCGTTTTGGCAAATGAGAAAGAGGTGACCAATGCCTCCCCGCCAGCCCACCCCCCCCCCAGGGGAGGGTGTGGAGGGCAGCACAGCATGCTCACATGGTCTGCCCTTTCTCACACAGCAGGGAGGCAGAGCAGGTGAGGGTGGGGGGTGTGCAGACCTTGTGTCAGCTGGGGTGATATTAAGACCTTTGGGTCAAACAGAGATCTCAGCATAATTTTCTATTAAACAATGGTCAGGAATGAAAACAGCCCCAACTGCCCAGGATGTTAGATATTCTTTGACCCTTTTTTCTGAGCTGTCACAGAAAAAAAACAAAAACAAAAACAAAACAGCAATTATTTGAGGATTGAATAGATGTACAGACAGAAGAAAGGATTTCTAGAAGGCAGAGTAGTTGGATAGACTAATGGACATAATTGGTATCCATCTAATATCTAACACTATTCATTTAAATCACTTCATTAACTATTCCTACCATATGATTATTTTGACTTTTTTGAATCAAAGTTTCTAGTGTTTTCCCCCAGAAGCAAACCCACATTATCAGTTGAAAGAGGAAGAACTGAGAGGAGGAGAATCTCATGATTTTTTCCCTTTCTAGCTCTGGCAGAAAGTTTAGGCAGGGCCTTCCCTAGCGGCTCACCGGGTTAAAGCACAGCATTGTGAAGCTATTGCAGCCACTGCAGCAAGACTTCGACACCCAGGTGGTGACCCACACGGCACAGCAGACCTCTCCTAACATGCCCACTGCTCCCCTCAGCAGAGTGTTTCAGTAGATCCTGCCTTTTCTGCTCCCCATTCTGTCTCTGGTGAGTCCTCTCACCCCCTGCACCTCTGGCCTGTACCCTAGTTCTGTATGCATAAATAAACAAATGGTTTTTTTTAGAAAGTAAGTTTAGGCAAAGACCCTTTCCCTTGTGCAATTTCAAAAACAGTTATCACTCCCCTCATTTTAAACTAAACCACTGCCTGTGCCCGTGGTTATTGTATGTGCATATTATGTGACCTCCCTTACATTCTTTTTACAGTGTGATATGCCTTGACTTTGCTGTCTAGTCTTTCTTAGGAATGTTTCATTGTGACGAATTATATATAACCAAGATGTCCATTTCAACAGATTTTCAGAGGGCAACTAGTGGAAACATTATGTTGTCCATCATTACCATTGATTAATAAACCTTTTTTAATCACTAAGGAGAAATTCTGTAATCATTAAGCTCCAAGTTACCATTCCCTGGAGACCCAGGTAGCCAACAATCTATTTTTTATCTCTGTGAATTTGCCTATACCAGATATTTCATGTGAGATATCTTAAGATATTTGCCCCTTTGTTTGTGATTCATTTAGCAAAAATGTTTTCAGGATTCATCCATGTTGTATATATAGAAGAACTTCAATCCTTTTTATTGTTGAGTAATATTTTTGTCATTTATATCTACTGCATTTTGCTATATATTTAGCTGTTGATGTGCACTGGGTTATTTCCACCTTTGGGCTATTATGATTAATGCCACAGTGGACATTGGTGTATGAGTATGTGTTTTACTCCCTGTTTTTATTTCTTTTGTCTATATATCTAGATATACAAACTCTGGGACGTATGCATGACGGCAGCCCTTAGAGTTTATGGATCTGAGGAAAGGCATTCTTGAAAAGGGACTATCATACAGTATTAAAGGTTGTTCATTAGGTTTTCTTGTCACACAATATAGCTGGGTTATTAAAAGAGAGGAAAAGAAAAAAAAATTGAGAGACATTGAGTTAGAAGTTGTATATTAACTAATGTGTCAGAAATGACCAGTTTGGGATAATAAGCTTACCAATGCTTCTAAAAGATGCATATATATATTTAAGATTTATTTTTATACATATGGAAATGGGGTATAAGCCAGAGGTGTAGGATGGTGAGATGCTTCACCAGAGACAGAGTGGGGAGCAGAACAGGCAGATTAACGAAGTACACTGTTGAGGGGAGCAACAGGTGGGTCAGGATCACTTGCCATGTGAATCACCTCCGGGGCCTGGGATCTAACTTGCACTGAAGTGGCTGTGGCTAGCTTGCAATGCTGCATCTTTACCCTTTGCACCACCAGGGAGGGCCCAAAAGATGGATATATTTTAAGAAGTGGTTCAGGGTAATAATTTTGTGTGATTTCATGTTATGTAATGGAAAACTCCATAAGTAATAGTGTTTTTAAACTGGGCCCTAATTCTTTAGTAAGTTATGACATCAATTTGCTATGATCAGCAATTAAAAGAAGATACAATTGAATAATAAATACAGGATTTTATCACACTTAGCTAAGGGTAAGTATTTTGTGGACTTTTCATTTTGGTTACAAGTATGCTGTAAAATAGCTATTGTGGGGGTGTGATATAAAAATTATAGATTGAAATCTCTGTTGCAGTGGGACAAATCAAAGCTTAGGATTAACCAGAATTGGGTTTGAGTCTGGGTTTTGGGTAACTTTTACAAGTTACTTATGACTCAATCTCCTCATCACAAAAGGAGTGTAATAATACCTCCTTTGTGTTAAGTGTAAGTGAACTAAGATTTGAGATTAGCAAGTGTGTAAGTACTTTCAGATTTAAACAGTGCTCTCTATGTCAAACACTCCACGAGAATGTGGATGATGTATTATGGATATCTAGGTCTGCTGTACTGTAGTCTACTTTAAAAACACATTATTCAGTCTGTTTCTCCAGCTTGGTTTGTAAGGAGGAAAAATTATGTGCTCCTTTCTATTCTCACATTATACATATATGTGTATTATGAATTTTGACACCTTGTAAGCTTGTCATATATTTCCTAATTATTTCGTAGTTTAGCTAGTATTACAAATTCAAATATTTTTCTAGTGCTTAAAACAGTTCTGGGCACATTGGAGAGCTCTGGCTGAAAATCTATTGCATTTTGTCCATTGCACACCTTTTGCAAAGTATCACTTATATACAGGGAAGCAGATGTACTCCTGATTCCACCGGTATTTCTCACTCAATCTACTCCATGCTAAACAGGGCAGTTCAGCACTAAGTCATGTCTCTGGGTAGTATAAGTGGAAGGTGTGAAGAGAGAAACCACTTTATCTGAGGACAATCGAAAATTAGATCCTACGTTCCCCTCCCTACTCTTATTCCCTTCGGGGAAGGGCTATTTTATAAGCCCAGAGGACCAAGGCCCAGAAACCTGCTGGCGTCCTGAGCCCCACAGGCTTGCCGGCACGCACGATCTCCAGCACTGAGAGTCCTTCTTCCCAGATGAAGTCTCATAGTATCACAGACGCGCACAGTCTCGATCAATACTGGATGGCAGGCGTGCTCCCACCGTCAAGAGTAGGCACAGCGCGGTGGATTTAGCTGCCCTGCCGCTCTGTCGCAGCTTCTCATCAGCTCGATAAGGCAGAGGACCGACGCTAACCAGCTTCGCAGCTGACCCCACCCGGTAGTCTCCCGCACCAGCTGCCCGCCTCCCCTTCTTTCCTACTCTGCACTCACAGGGTGGAAGCTTCTTCATCAGACTCCATGCGTGGGGGACAGCAGGGCCCTAGCCTGTGGAGAGGGCGCAGTTATGTGGCCTTTCTGCCCGCCCCTCTGGAGGGTCCCCAGAGAGGGCTCTAGCGGAGAGTGCTGAGCTTCATCACATCCGAGTCTTACCTTGCAATGTCTTCGCAGGGTGGGTAACAGGAGTAGGAGTGTTCAGAAAGCCCTTCAGAGGGTCACAGAGGCTGATGTGATCTGGGGCAGGGGTGTGAACCCCCACCCACCTGGTGGAACCCCAAGAACACAACCCTGAAAAAACCCCGCCCCCGGCTTCCGCTTCCTCTCTGGATTGGCTGATCCAGCCCCAAGGCGGGTCTCAGCTATAAAGATGACGGCCGCGGGACTGCTGTGGCGAAACTCCTAGAGCTGCTGTGTTCACCCGCTCTCTACCCCTGCACCAGGGTTCCTCCGTGCCCCTCAGCGCTCCTGACTCCATCATGCCAAGGGGTTTCCTGGTGAAGCGAACTAAACGGACAGGCGGCTCCTACCGAGTGCGCCTAGGAGAGCGGGTCTTGCCCCTGCTAGGACCCCCGGTGGCGCCACCCTTCCCTGAGGAGGCTTCCAGTGTCCCCCAGTCCTGTGTGGGGCAGGTGGCAACCCTCATTTTGGAAGAGCCTAGAAAAGGCTTGGAGGAGGAGGCTGTCCCCGAACTGTCGGGGTCGCCCCGTCGGGCAGCTGGGGTGAGCCCTAGAGCGGGTGGACAGGAAGATGCGGAGTGGAAGGTAGATGGCAGGGAGGGTCCTGGGGCCAGCCCTAGCCCTGCAAAGCCGGCAGGTGTGGACCTGCGCAGGGCGTTCCTGGAACGCTGTCTCAGCTCGCCCATCTCGGCTGAGTCCTTCCCCGGGGTCACAGCCGCTGTGGCTGCCTTCTCATGCTCGGTGGCGGCAGCAGCTGCACCAACCTCGGGGGAGCAATTCCTGCTGCCGCTCCAGGCACCGTTCCCAGAGCCCGCGCTCCATCCGGACCCGGCGCCTATCTCCGCTGCCCTGCAAGGTTTGAAGCGGGCCTCCAGCAGTGAGCGCCGACCTAAGGCTCCTCCAGGGTGCGGATCTGCACCAGTGGCTGCTGGAGTTAAGAAGTCAAAGGCCATAAGGAAGTTGAGTTTCGCCGATGAAGTGACTACATCCCCTGTCCTAGGACTGAAGATCAAGGAAGAGGAACCTGGGGCACCGTCTCGGAGCCTGGGAGGCAACCGTACACCGCTGGGGGAGTTCATCTGTCAACTGTGCAAGGAGCAGTACGCAGACCCCTTTGCGCTGGCTCAGCACCGCTGCTCCCGCATCGTGCGTGTCGAGTATCGCTGCCCAGAATGCGACAAGGTCTTCAGCTGCCCAGCAAATCTCGCTTCCCATCGCCGCTGGCACAAACCACGACCCACATCAGCAAATGCTGCCACAGTCTCCTCAGTCGAGGGGAAGACACCACCGCCTCCGTCACCTTCGTCCTCCCTCGGCTCCGGGTCTATTGCATCTTTCCTAGCAGAGGGAAAGGAGAACAGCCGGGCAGAGCCGACTGTAGATCAGCACCATCAGTCCAGGGACAGCTCCGGGGCGGAGCAGCGCCAGAACAGCGCTCTGCACCCGCACCCGGGCCTCCAGGTGTTACCCCACCCGGAGCCACCGTTGCCTCAAGTCCCCTACACAGACGGGGTGTTGGGGCGCGGGGTGCCGGGACGGGTCAGTGGTGTCGGGGGACCTGAGATCTTTGTGTGTCCGTATTGCCACAAAAAGTTCCGTCGCCAAGCGTATCTGCGCAAGCACCTGGGCACTCATGAGGCTAGCTCGGCTCGCGCTCTCGTCCCGAGTTTTGGCTCTGAAGGCGGTGCTCCACTCGCCTTCGCTTGCCCGCTATGCGGAGCGCACTTTCCGTCCGCAGAAATTAGGGACAAGCACCGGCTGTGGCACACTGTCCGTGAAGAGCTGCTCCTGCCTGCTCTGGCCCGGGCGACACCAGAAGCACCGAGTTCAGGTGGGGCAGCCGACGGGGGCGCTCAGCAAATTTTCTCCTGCAAGCACTGCCCGTCCACTTTTTTTAGTTCTCCAGGGCTGACCCGGCACATTAATAAGTGCCACCCCTCAGAAAGTCGGCAGGTACTATTGCTGCAGATGCCACTGCGGCCCGGTTGTTGAGACTAGGGACAGGGAAGACTGTAGAATTTGACTTTGGAGGAAATGGATCATGGGCATTTCTGTGGGGCTTTCAACATGCGAGGTCACCCTCTTTCCAATTATTTTCTCACCTGTAAGTCCCATAGTCAATGTTCTGCAGAGGAGCAGATAGTGAAAAGTAAAATCCCTCTCTAGAGCAGGTATGTATGTATCTATGTATGTATGTATCTGGTATAAGCGTTTTTCTTTTTTGTCAAGGACTGTCAGCTTTAAATCCTCCCTTTCCCCGGGAAAATAGGATCTCCCTTACAAACTCTGAAGACCCTAATGAATCCTATGACTTGTAATTCCTATGGAAAGTCACAGTGGATGCGTGCATGTCTCGATGTCTACAAAGGAGTCTAGCTACCGAAAAGTGGCAGTCATCATTGCCCCCCCCCCCTTGCCATCACAGGCACCTAAGTAGTTTCTGTCTCAAATAGGGTCAGATATCTCGCATTGTATATTCTGTGAATTAAAAGTTACTTGATTGGTGCCAAACTTAATGGGATTCTGTGGGCAGGCAATGTTTGTGCTTTGGGGGTAGATGGGATTCTGGTAACCTTTCTTTTTCTCGATTTAATTCATTTGCCAGTTAGTTTGGAGGTGGGGAAGGTGCTACTTTGCTGAAAGTTGAGACACCCCTCCCCCCCCTCCAATTCTAACCTTTAGCAGTTTCGTATGCAGTATTCAGAAAGCTACATTAAGCCTTTCTTTAAATAACCTTTTTGGTGATACCGAACTCATTGCCTGAACTTTGACTGTTTCAGGATTTCATCAAAAATGTTTAATGCTTATGTTTTAAATCTTACACTGTGTATATTATATATGAAACTGTTCAGCTTAAGGACAGACATTAATACTTACAATCCACTATGGAACCAAATGGCAGTTCATTCAGTATTCAGTATTTTTTCTTTTTGTAACCCATATTCAGTGTACTTTCTATACTCGTGTCTTAAAAGCTAGAATTTAGGATTCTGGCTTACATTGCTTGATGGAAAGCCCCTATTTGTAAGATGCTTGCCACCAAATAAATGTACATAGCTGGTGCTTTGTTGTGCTCTGTGTTTGTGCTCTGTGTTTAAGAATCCCACTGAACACAGCCTACTTTTCAAAGTCACATTTCTTATCTCCCCAAAGCAAGTATCCTACTTGCTTGTTTTAGTGACCCATTTAGACAGAATACAAAGACAGGAGAAATGATATTTTGCAAATGAACATGGTGGTACAGAAAGGGAATGGGAAAATTTTCTTTGAAGTATTATTGCTGCAGTGAGCCTAAAAGGCCAAGAATATGTACTATTCACTAGTCTAAAAAAGACACTTCCCCCTCAAAAAGTCAATAGACTATTTTTTCCAAAAAGCTCATTTGTTATCTGAAGGTGATAAAATCATGTTAACTGTGCTAATTCACTATTGTAAGTTGGTATTTCACTCCATTTTGTTACATATTCATTTACACATTTTTGAAGTGTTTTTTTTTAAATTAGTTACTTTATTATTTTTTTCTTGTAATTCACCTTGGTTGTAGGAAACTTTATATCAATCTTGCTCCCAGTAATTCTCCTTCATCCATGTGTTCACTGTCTATATAACCTTTCATAAGAGTTCTGGTTTACTTTCTAAAGTCACAGAAATTGATTTGTAATACTTTAAATAATCTGAAAGATAAACTTAATTTTTGCTCCTGAATGTAAATTATAAAACAGCAAATTTTATCTCTGCCTCATGTTTGATTTTTTTAAAGTAAGGTAAAGTTTCTGGTCATTTTGAAGATGTAAAATTTCCTGTGTAGTTACTGAGGTTAGTCTCTCAAGAAGTTTGAGAGAACCTTGGGAAGAATTAAAATGTTTTTTTTTTGTTTGGTTAGGTTACCTTCCTTTTTTTTTCCTTTTTTTGTTTATTGTTTTGTTGTTGTTTTTTAGTTTTGAAATTGTTTATAAGACACAAATTAACACTCATGGACAGGAAGTGATAAGAATATTTTTATTGTATTATTAAATACCATATCATCTTTTCCCACTGTTATAAATTTGTAGATACTACATGAATGATGATACATAATTTATATTTTATAGTTTGCTGGTATAACATATTTACACATGCAGTTAGTACCGATGTCATGCTACATTTCCTTAGGAGATGCCCATTCAAAAAAGGATGTGAGCAAAAATGTGAGCAGCTTAGCTAATGTAGGAAAATACTTATGGAGGATGGAATGTATACCAACCTGTGCCTGCAATTCTAACTGTGTTAGATTTAATGTAGCTCTTGGGTCATGTTTCCTTTAACAATGAACATAATTTAAACATATTTAAATCAGCAATGTTTTTACCTTCTTCTCTTTCCTATCCCCATTCTTTTTTGTACTTTACAAAGAACAGAGCTACACCAGGATACTGGAGCCAATAATAATTGGCCAAAATCTCAAAACAGAAATGGCATTTAACAGTGATACCATCTAAAAACAAAACTACAAAAATATTTGAAAGCTAAACAAAGTTCAGAACAGTGATTTTTTTTTTTCCTGGTTTTAAATATAATGGATCACCCGCATAGTCAAGAATTGAGACAATGCTTTTAGAAAAAAAGTTAATGCTAAAATTATTTCATTTGGAATTTGAGACCACTTATTGTCATAACATAATACACCCGATGTGTAAAAAATTTAAGATTTGCAACTTTTGTTATAACTATAAATGCTCAAATTTAAAACTTTACATTTGTAAAAAAAAAATTACATGTTTACTGAGCCATAAAGTTGCAACCTGGCACAATAAGTAAAATGAGCTATTTGTCGAATTACATAATTATCTAGGAAGGTAAGGGTGTAGAAAATTCCTCCCCCTCCAGTATGGCAGTTTGGAGTGGAGGCAGGGGATCCCAAGTGAACAGACAATCCAAATCTAAAATTTCAAGTTATAAATTACTTAAGTCCAGTGTTTTCTAAAATATATGCTCAGAAGAAACATGCATGTTATGGCTAACATGAAGGCCTGAAAGGGTTAGCTATGTTCATGCTAAGGTGGCTACTGCTGATCACTGCTGGGCTGCTTGTCTCTTTAGGATTTATTGGCTGAGCCAGAAGAACGACGCAGCTTCATGGACATGCGGCTTTTGCTAGTTCGAGGAGACATTGGAGAGGCCAGGTCAGCCCCATCTACCTGCGTTGCTGTGGGAGTTTCACTGGGTAGAATCTCTGGGTGGAAGCCTGTAGAAAACAGTAAAACTTTTAGGAGTCTCATCCTATAAGAAATAAGCTTTCCACTGCTGAGCTGTAGCATGAATTTCAACCCTTAATGAGGTCTTTTGAGAGGAAAGAGCAAGCTCTACACTTGCTTATTATAAAAGCTCACTAATACTTTGTTTAAAACCCAGTGATCTGGCGGTTCATTATTAGCAACAAAGCGCCAGTCATCATTTCCAGAGCCAGAACCAACTAGAGCTCCCCAGAAAAAGCAATGGGAAGCAAGAACATTGGGCCAGAGAGGACAGGGATCCAAAGCATGGCTGGCATGCAGGGAAGGGCTGAAGAAGCAGGTAAGAAAGACCAATTCCATCGCTAGATTACAGGGTATTACCAAGAAAAGGGCCTTCATTGCTCAAACTTGAAAACAGAATCAAAGGTTCAAAAAGGATTCAGCACTACAAAATCATTCTACATGTTACGTATTTAAATATTTTTAAGAAGGAGAAAGACAAATTCCTGACGAAAGGAGGACAAGTATTCTCATCTGGAAGTGAGTCAGTTACAAATTTACCTCTTAAAAGATCTAAATTTAGAGGGGATAAGCAATGATTTTGTTTTCTTTAATGTAAATGTTTGTAGTTACACTATATAGGCATAGCAAATATGTAGCCAGTAGAATTAGCACATATAAAAATTTAAAAGCAGCACAGCAAACTTGAAAAATCTTTGTCATTTGCAGTAGTTCACCTGTATACTTAATGCATGAATTGACTCTCTCATAGAGCACTTCTATCAAACTGCATACTGTATGCTCATTTTCTGAATAAGAAATTACACTGAAAATAAAAACCATGCAAAAACATGAAGAAATGTGCAAGCATAACAGAATAACATAAAAGCCTGTATATTTTATAACACTTTACTACAGATTTTCTGTATCTTAGGGACATGAAGATTTTCCTGTCTTTCATACACACATTTCATGCTTGAACTTAGACATCTATCATTTATTTTGTAGGGAGACTTTTGACTTATTTGGTAACTGTACCTCAAATAACTGCTAGCATTTCTCTTCCATACAATGAAAACATTTGTGTTTATTGTGAGGTTATGAATATTTATAAGGAAACACAAAATTGTTCAATAAGGGGATACAAAATTGAGACTATATATCTCAGAACACTAGAAATTGTAAAGGCCAAATATTGTAATTATACTTAGAATATACATTGCTAAAAGAAAAAATATTTTCACTACTCATAATCCTGCTCCCTTTTCAAGCTAATTTCTCCAACATTTGTTCCTAATTAAAATGAAGCAGGCCTTTAAAAATACAAGAAGGAAATAGATTTCTGTTCACCTTTACTCTTCCTGAAGATCTGAATTGGCTCACAATGGAACCATACTGGAAAGCCTAGAGGAAACTATGAAACCACGGCCCTTTTTAGGGTAGCACTGCAGATGGATGGCAGAGGGAAGGTGAAGAGCAGTAGCTCATGCTTTTCTGGTATGCGTAGTGTTCCCCGCCAATCAGGAGAGGCCTTCCCATGGGTGTTTACCTTGAGATGGCCAATGTTTTCTAGCGGAGGTTTTGGGAGGAAGAGAACTATCACTGCATTTCTTTCTTTGTTGTGAATGAAGAAATGGAGTAGCGAGCAGAAGTGAGAAAACAAGAGAAGATACATAACAGCAATGAGAGACAGTGCAGAATTTTACAGGTGTTAACTGAGGAGCAGAGGAGAGTAATCAGATTTTTACTATGAAATACATTTGGGCATGCAATGTGTTAGTGCGATGATGTTTCCTCATAGACAAGCTTTGTAGATTCAAATGTCATACTTACCAACTAACAAGACAAGTTCAAACAGGAAAAAAGAAAAGGGAAAAAAAGTCTTATAAGAGATTCTATAATATCTACCTTTCAAAGAGTTATTTATACTGATAGCATGTTATCCTAACCATTCGGTATAAAATCTCTAGAGCTGTGCTGCTGAACATGGTAGCCACAGTACATAGTGGTTTAGTAGCAGTCATACTGAACATTTTCACCGCAGGACATTTTATAGGAAAACAATGCTTTGGAATATGCCAAATTCAAAGATGATTTTCCTAACCGATAGCAATTCCTTTATGACTCCTGTCTAGATTAGCTTTCAAGATAAAAATTCTCCTTCAGTTAGTCAAATCAAGCTTTTTAGTGTGTACACCTAATATCTGTGGCATGCCCGCAACGTATCCAAACTCTGTTAAGTAACTTACAGTGGACAGATCTCAATTTTAGATGTAGCAATTATAGTGATACTTATGCTTCATTTCATATCTTAGTCTAAATACTGATTTATGTCATAAGTCATGAAGAATGTTATTTTTATCAGAAATACTCTAATACTGAGATGCTGGCCATTTTGTATTTTCTTTGCAGTGCTTACTGACATGTATGAACAATTAAAACTGCTAAAATTATTGGGTAAATAAGACCTTTAAAATACTGTGATTCAGAAAGCAATTCCAATTAATATGAACCAAGAGGCAACATAATGTCTTAAAAAGTATGGATGTGGGTGGGTTAGACCTAAGTTGAATGCTGTTTGTCATATTATTAGTTGTTGAATGTTGGGCAAGTTAGCCTAAGAGTTATTTCACAAGGCTGTAGTGAAGACCAACTCTGCAAATAGTGTACACCAACTTGTGCCGGGTAACAGACCTTGAAATCAGAATAGATGACTAGAAAAGGGATGGAAAAATTGAAATAGTTTTTGGGGAAACTAAAAATGTATTCACTCTAATGGTGATATCCTTATAAAATGAAACTATATTGAGTTCTCAGAAAAGTTATGACATACATTTGCTTGGAAACACAGGAAAAATACATCCTAACTTTTCAGACAATTCAATATATTTTTTAAAGATTTATCTACTTATACATACAGAACTGGGGTACAGGCCAGAGGTGCAGGGGCAGTGAGAGGATTCACCAGAGACAGAGAGGAGCAGCGGGTGGGTGAGTAGAGGTCTGCTGTGCCATGTGGGTCACCTCTGGGACATGCGGGGATCGAACTCATGCTGAAGTGGCTTCAGTTTCTTAGTGCTGTGCTGAACCCGCTGTGCCACCAGGGAGGGCCCAGATAATCCAATATTAACGTTACCCAATAGATTACCCAAATTTTACTGTTTTAGTATTGTTAAAGGAGTCAATACATGATTAAGAGTAGTTAGTTAAAATTGGCTGTACCCTTGCATAAAAGAAAATAGCACATAAATTAAAACAAAAGAGTATATTAATATAGGGAAAAAAGTGGTTTTATTTTAAGATATTCAAGAACATTATCATTTATATTAGTCTAAAGTTGTCCTGCTTTTTCTTACAAATGGGAAAACTGGGTTTAGAGTAAACTATAGAGTTCATGCAGATGATGAAGAATTATATAACTGCAGATCAGTGTGATTTCAAGGACAATTCTCCAATGTCACCCTTAAAATTTGTTTTTTAATGGGTGGAAACTTAGAACCTTAAA